CTTCCAAACACTTTCTAACAATCTACGGCAGGCCCTGGATTACTTTTCGGGGTAGACAACTACACGGCCTCATGTTTCTTCTCTTCTTTGGTTTTCTTTCCATTGTATACTCTTGACTTCGAGGCTTTCTTATCTCCTTCTTCTTCGAACAAGGGCATACACGAGTGGCGTTGGAGGATTTTGGGTTATGATCCTGGCGCATGGTTGGCAGCGGATGCCGGTGGTTTCCCTTATCTGGATAGCTCTGGCGAGCAGGAACAGATAGTTCGCTTATGAGTCTCAATCAAGAGCATAGCACAAACTCTGCTTTCATCATGCGTTGATGTTGGTGACGTGAGGGCCCAGTGGCCGATGACATGCACGAGACGCTCAGACATTTCGGAGTCCTATGCGCAGCTTCGCCGCAACGCGGTACCCATGCACCGCCAACCACGGTTGGCTCCAACTTCCGTACAACGTCCTGCGGCGTAGACACCGCGACCATTACCGCTCGATTTTGTTACATCATTACCTGCATGCGCTCGACCCGAAGTCATCGCCGTACTCGAGCATACCACGACTAGATAAGCCCACGATGTAGGATTTGAGTGTTTACTGACCCATAAACTACTCATGATGGATTACTCACTTCTTCAGTCATGCACTGCGCTGTCATGAACATACTCTTTTCTCATGTAAATGTCTTCTCCTCTTCGCATTCTTCTTCTTTCATACACTTCTACCCTCCTAATACGACCATCGCCGTTGTAAAGCTTCTCGTAATACCAACATTCTTATCGAATCCAAACTCTCCATAACGACGCATAGCGCACCCAACTTCACACTACTAAAGCACGGTCGAAAATCGCTGTGCCACAAACCAACACCGACGAAATTCCAACATGGCCGTACTACGCGCATGCTCGCCCATTGCAACGGCCTTGATAGCTCTGCTCCTCCTACCGAGACCCGTCACAGCAGTGCCGCATAACCACGGGCACAAGCACATGCACCGACATGTCTCGTCAACCAACGACCTCATCACTCTGGGCCCTAAGACGCTGGCACGCCGAGATACAAGCTTGAACATAGGGGACCTTCCACGATATGATCCGGATGAGCTCAAAGCGGTCGCGCATTCCTGCAGCACTGGGCCAGCCGAACTTCCACTCAACCAGGGCGTACCCAGGCCTGTCAAGATCACCACGGTACCACAACTCGATGTCTTCCCACGTCCAGAAAGTGTGGGTGGCATGTTGACTATGCACAACTATTGTGGTTACGACCTCTACTGGTCCCACGTCAATGGGAAGAAGGTGCTATCTGACCCTGAGGATACCAAGGTGTTTGAAACAGGACATTTACCCGCTGGGGGAACGGAGACAAGACCCCTCGCAGGCGACAACATGAAAGTGTCGAAGACGGCGTCAGGGGATCAACCGGTGCAACTGGAATATACCCACGCTGGGGAGAAATTGTGGTATAACCTCAGTCTGATTGACTGTCTCGGTAGGAAGGACGCGAAGATTACCGCTGATATGACACATTGCGCGGGCCATGAAGCTGGAATACAAATGGGTCAGCCCGAATTCGCTTTTCAGTGTGAGGCTGGGAAGTGGTGCGATGATCAGGCATATCTGTACGGAGTAAGTCGCTATCCTTTGGATTGTTGAAGAAGTTTATTTGGAGGAAGTGATATATTGACGCTTGATTCTACAGGAAAACATCTGCAGACACGAGAACGCGATATACATGGGGAGGTTTGATCAGGGTGTGACTGCAGAGTTCTGTGTCGATTTGAAGGGCTAATTTGGATGTTGGTTGAGTGGTAAACAAATTCTGTTCTGTTAAGCTTCATTCATTCGTTCGTGCTTTGCGCATACATATAATTGATTCGCTCATTCCTACATACTTATCGACCCAAGTAGCCGTCATGCAAGGAGAACAGAAGTTCACTGACTCACAACCTGTGTCTGAAGTCCGCCTCGCCTAGCCTAGCCGACTTCTCAAGAACCTCCTCAACTGTCCGATAGCCCCCTCATCCAACGTCTGCGCACAAGAATCCGACTCGATATGCTGGAACAAGCTCGACAGCTTCGACATCGCCGCATCGCAAGTCGGGCACATGAATGGGGTAGCTTCATACAACGTATCCCCATCATCAAGCAGCTCATCCCGATAGTCCGCGTCGATGAACTGATCCCATCTATAGCACTCGGCTGCCAACTTGTTGAGATCGGTGGAGTCGATATCGCCGCAGGTGCCGCGTTCGAGATGGATGATCTATGATGGTAAGCGACAAGTTGTATTTGGTTGCATACATGACTTACCATGCCGCCGTAGGTCTTGAACATGCCCGTGCATTCGTAGCATTTGTACCTCGGTGTACGATGGGAAAGCTGATGCTGCGTATCGTTAGCACGTGACGCACATCTGCCATACAGTTGTACCACTTACCTGGTGAAGATTGCTCGGTGAGTCAAAGTGCCTCTCGCACTGGGTGCATACATTGGATTCTTCAACATGGTCCCAGTACTCCTTCGATCCAGGATGAAATAGATTTCCATCTCCATCGTTACAATCTTGGCACACGGTGTAACAGCCCTCGTCGCGGCAGTGCTCGAGCAATTCGTCCCGGGTATCGCCGTCAAAGTCGCATTTGGAGCAGTAGTGGTGCTCTGTAGAGTGGCGGACGTATGCATCGCGTGCGCCGAGAGTGCGGAAGGAGCGAACGCAGCGTTGACACCAGCTGTTTGGTGTTAGCGGAGGAAATGCAGGCATATTAGTCACTTACACAGCCATCTCAGGGAGTCTTGTTGTTGAATAGCGGCTAGTCGTAGGCTCCGCGGAAGGGTTTGATATCTTAGTAAGTAATGAGGAATTGCGTGAATGCCGCGTGAGCCTTGCATTGACCTGGGCACGTCGTGGTTGATCGGATGGCTGCCTGAATAAATGTGGCCCCATATCAGCGGCGCAAACAAATAACCGAAATAAAAAGAGTGAAAGCAAGCACAGCCGTACGTGTTCAATAATATATCTAGCTAAACGGCTATTCAGATAGCTTCATCTCTATGAACTCCATTCCTTAAACGCCTTCTGCTTTTGCCTGCTATTCCACTGTAGAGTCCTCGAGATACTGTCGATCCAATCCGTTCTCCTCTTGTTCAGTGGTAGCACGCTGGGGAACGGGAAGCGACTTGCGCTAATCGTAACGTAGTCGCCTGGCTTGAGTTCGACCCGTTCTCTGCCGTCAAAGCTGGCCCATGAACTCGTTCTCGCATCGTATGGCACACCGCATCGGAGCACGATGGTATCGGGGAGAATGATGGGGCGGAAGGAAAGGGTATGCGCGCAGATGGCGGTAACGAGAACCACTGGGTTGTCTGGATGGCAGAGCGATCCACCTGCCGCAAGATTGTACGCAGTGGAGCCCGTAGGCGTAGACACGCAAATACCGTCAGCCTGCACAGTCGTGAAATGCTCGTCGTCTCCGAATAGCTCGATAGACGACATAGTAGGGTTTGGGCCCCGGTCTACGACCACCTCATTCAAGATATTGTGTGTACCATCCGAGTAGTGTGTATGGTGGTCGTCAATTTCCTCCCCAATAAGTTCTTCGACCAGATCGCGACCCTCGCCGTCCCGTTGTTGGGATCGCATGACGGTAGCTTCGAAGCGGAGCCGCAGGCTGACTGTAATGCCGTCCGCGAAGGCGGTAGATAGGGATTGCGGGTATAGTTCGAAATCGAATTTGGTGAGGAAGCCGAGCGAGCCTAGCGAGAAGGCAATCGTTGGGGGTACAATGCGCTGGAAGAGCCATGACGCATACAAGACTGTGCCGTCACCACCGAGCTGTGTTGCTGTCAGCCATGAAGACTCCGCAGTATGACATGTCTTACCGCAAGGACAATGTCAAAGGTCTGTGGCTTTTGAGCGCACATCTCGTTGGTCCAGAATTTGAGCCGTCCTTGAAATTCCTCGTTCTCCAGCAGCCCAGCGGCGTCGAAGATCTTGTTGTCCTCCAACGTCTGCTCGACGTAGCTATGTCTCGTTAATCGCGTCCGTCGCTAGATAGAGCGACCACATACACCGTATACTCCGAGCTCTTCCGCAGAAGCCAGTCGGTCACCTCGCGCGAGTTCTTGATCAAGGCCTCGTCGTGCGCTTTGCCGAGGATGAAGATGTTCTTCACATGCAGCTTCAGCCTGATCTGTGACAGCTTCTTCGACAGCTCGCGTATTCCAAATGCCATATCTGACAGCTCCTTCTTGGTCAACAGCCGCGAATGTTGCGTCTGCTCCGAGCGCGCCGAGGTTGGGTCTTTGTCGACGCGCCGTTCCTGCGCGAGGCCTTCGTGCGATTGGGAGTGATCTTGTACGGGCAAGCCATCGTGCTTTTCGAGAAGGGAGTGTACGATACACGCGGTGGTACGGCGACCGTTCTCAGGGCGGGACGTCATCTTGCCAGAGGGTGGGGGGGCGAGCGAGGCTTTGCGACGATGGCCGCTATATCCGCCTTCGAAGACGACCTGCGATTATTGGTCAGCGCGTGGAGGAAGGGTGCAGTGGAGTAGGTACCTCTAGCGCATCGTCATGGCTGGTCACCTTGGTGATATTCTTGGTGTCTTGGTCTCCAAGCTCGCTCTCCATGAGGAAGTTAGCTTCAACGCGTCGTTATGACGTTTGGGGGGTGCATAGGTACCTCGATTGCTTCCTGAACGCCAGGGCTCAGCTGATCGAAATAACTCGTCGCCATGGCTGAAGTGCGCAAATAGTCCTGCGATTGAAAGGGCCAAGAGACACGGCTGCCCTTTTGTAGCCTTGCTGTAGCGCGAGCGTAACGTCGAAGGTGCAACAGTACTGCGGTTCTCGGCCCACTTTCCGAGGGGCAGGCACGCCCGGCCCCGCTTGCTTCCAATCATGTCCGCGCAACGCCGATGAGATCAGCCGCCGGCGTCCTTACTCATGCCTTTTGCTCAACCACCATCATTTTCGTGGTGGTAGTTTTGCTGACAAAGGATGCTACAGCGGAACCTCCACTGATTCTAGCACTTCCTCGATGACATCCTCAACCGTGACACCTTCAAGAACAGCCTTGACCGCTTCGAGCGAGCTGCCCCATTGCATGCTGCGCTCGTTCTCTGGTGCAGTGATGACAATGCGGTGTGGGTATATCTTGCGAGCAGCAAGGGCGATCATGGACGGGGAAATGTAGTCGAGGCCGTGAAGTGGGGCGAGCGTACTATGGCTGTCAGTACTATCCTGTTGGGATGGAGGACCACTTACTGTGCCAGCGTGTTGAAGTGTCTTGTTGCCAACGCAGAGATACCGCCTGCAACTGCTCGGTGCAGCCTCATGAACACGATGATATTATACAGATAGGCTCTTACTTCGGAACTGATCCTGACTTGCGATACCAGCTTCGTCAAGGTCTCGAGGTCCTGTCCTCGTTAGTACAGCGCGGTCGTACTACGGTCGACATACATCAGGCAGGAATAATGCTTGCTGCGGCTTATGCTTTCCTGGTTGAAATGGCGGCGTGTGAACTACGGAAGACATTGATGCGCCGTCGTCTGATGCATGATTCTTTTCTTGCAGCTCTTCAAGATTTGGCAGTCCATCATCTGCTTGATGCTTGTGCGAGATGAAGAACTGATCATTCTGAAGTATTGTTAGACTTTGTATCTAGATTTTAGGGTAGACCTACCAGATGCATGGTTAATCGCGGTGTATCTGAAGCATTCAAGGCAATGAACAAGAATGGTTTCGGGGCCGCATGTACTGCTGTCCTCGTGAAGTTCCGCTTGCCTCGTATCAGCTGTCTATCATTAGTTATGCTCGAGCAGAAAAGACGATTAATGCACCTCCAAGGCCTGGATTTGGACCTGCGGATTCGCCCTGTTGAGGTTTCTTGCTATAACAATGTTCGCGATGCGTTGGTTGTCCAATGGACTGAACGGTTTGGATGACCTCGATGTATGTCCGCCAGGCTTCCCAGGTGATACTGAAATGGACGAAAACTGGCCAGACATTAGTCGCTGGCAAATCAGTCTACACGAGCATAACTTACCTCCCCTCTACCACGCCCAGCTTTATTGCCGAAGTAGTCGTTCTCTTCTCCTCTCACAAGGATTCCGCTTCCGAAATCATCCAGCGTGGTGTGCTCGGTGCATTCCAGTACAGCCCATGTTAGTCCGAAAGTATTGGTAGCAACCTATCGTCGTAAGCACACAGGCAGTTCCACAGTGGGAAGCAACTCACGAGCTTCAACTCCTCAAGCACGTCACGGGTCAGTTGCCTTTCCGCTTCGATGATGCAATGTTGATCTGCGACCAAGCAGATGAGAACGGCAAGCTCCAGATCGCTCAGCGACTGCACTTTCTCCGTGATGCGATCTTCTGAGGCCTCCATTGTCGATACGATCTGAGAGGTCTTGTATCGTTATTGAGAAATTTCTGGAAGCCTGTAAGAAGGTCTGGCGACGAAAGTGCTGAACGCGTTGGAAGTCGCGTTCGGTGAGCGAGCAGGGTTAAAAGGACGCTAGACCGGAATCGGACTAGGTCTGGCTCCCTTGGAAGTCGCGCTGCATCCTGAGATCCGCGATGTCACCGCCAGAATACATTCACGGGAAGCAGCCCAGCATGCACACCACTACATATCTAAGTGATTTTGCAACATCAGTAGCTTCGCATCGTTACAGTACGTCGGAATACCGAGAGCCATAGGCATTGCCTAATGGACCACCCGTAATGCGCTCCTAACCCAGTTTCTACCGTATCAGACCCCATTTCTTCCCCGACATGGCACCTTCGCTCCAAGGCTTAGCCAGACTTCTTCACAGCGCCTCCAATCTCTTCTTTCGGCGTGCCGACAAGACGAAGACTCTTCCAAGTGGTTGACGGAGTAGTTTTGGGTACTGCTGGGGAGCTCAGTGCAGGAAAGGCTTCTGCGACGTGAGGGACCTTGTGCAGTGTAACAGTTGGGTTGACAGACGACTGAACAACAGCTCGACCAGTCCATGCGACACCGACGGCCGCTGGCTCTGCTGCGCGAATGTCCTCAGATCCGGTCTTGGTGCTTGACGCGCGAGAAGGCTTTGACTTTGGCGCAGGCTTCAACTCTTTCAATGCTTGCTCAGCTTCTTGTACCTTGCCCTCAAGTGCCGACTTCTTATCTTTTGAGTCGTTTATATCGGTAGTCGCAGTGTCTAGAGTGTTCTGCCAGATGGTTGCAAGCCCGTCTAGGTGTTGGAGTTCGGCGACTTGACGAGCGAACACCGCAGCTGTATCGGGGATATGTGGCTTTGAGACTGCTGATTGGCTCTCGTGATGCGGCATGGGGCCCGATGTAGGTTCTCTTGATAGCTTCTCGTACTCTCGCTTCAACTCATCGTAGTCGGTCTGAAGTACAGCCTTCTCAGTCTGGAGAACCTGGTTCTCGTTGCTGAGTTGGTCGTAGCCTTGTTGCAGAGCATTTGCCTGATCGTCGCGCTCCCTGTACTCCCTCTCTAGCTCCAATTTCGTCCGTCTCAGTAGCACTTTCTCTTGGTCTCCCTCCAGCATCTTGGCTTCTAGCACCTCTTTCTCTTTAAGCATTCTAGCGTGCTGCAAAGCCATTACATGAACTTTATTACCTGAGTCGATACGCTTCATCCCCTCGTCGTACACACGCTCTTTGACTAACTTTTCGACATTGGTGTAATAGCCCTTCGAAAGCTGACGATACTTGTCGTTCAATTTTCTTTCCTTTGCAGCAAAACTGCCTTCATCCATTTTCAGACTCAGCTCCAGCTCCTCTGCTTTGCGCTTTTCGTCTGAGAGCGCGACTTCGAACGCCTTCGCCTTCGCTTCTGATTTTAAAAGCACTGTCATAAGATTTGCCAGCTTTTGCTTGACAGCTCTGAGCTCCTCTATATCGGTTGGTCTGGTCGTCCAGAAAGACTCCAGCGTGACTAGCACCTGTGCGGCAAGTTCATCACGTAGTTCGTCGATTCCCAGACCTGTTGCTTGGTGACATGTACATTCGGGTAGAGCATCTTGGTAGATCTTCCACTCTGCCTGGGACAGTGGTTTGTCACCGATAAGCTTTGGCGGAGTGTGACCCTGACTGATACAATTTTGGGTCATCTGTGTGAGCCAGAGAGCTGCCTTGATCGAAGTGACCTTCTGCAATGCGGGGCTCAGAGCGTTGAAAAGCTTCTTTAGGCCGTCGAGTTCACCAGTGATTATTGCTCCGGTCTGAAGATCCAGGTAGTCGAAGCCCATCGTGTGCTTTTTGAGATCATCGCACACCTGACCCTCGAGGGCCGCTACTGTGATTTCCATGGTAGCTGATGAAAGCTCTGCCGGTAACCTGGAATACCGATCAGCTATCCACCTCAGTCTCGAAGTATCGTAGTATGCTTACTGGAGTGCGTGTACAGCGGTATCGTTTCGAGGTCCAGGGACGGAATCAGAACCAATGTGGGCACGCGTACGTGGCTCCGTAGAGCTGACGTCGGTATTAGTGTCTTGGTCGTGTGGTGAAGTGACAAAGGTCCGTGGTAGGAGCACAAAGCCTTGGCCCTTCTAGCATAGGGTGAGCGGATGCGGCGCCCGCAAACGAGAATGTAGGGCTAAAGACGCGTTCGTCAGGTAAACAAATGCGTTTGCTATTGCGAGCCTACGTCATCAGCGCGAAAATCCTCTCACCGAACTCTAGACATATCACACAAACTACTGCCCTACCTATCGTCATCTTCAACGATGTCATTCAGCTCGAAGCATCCAAGCAACGGTATAGCCAATCACCTCCGGGCCACGGCAGCGACGTTTACCCCACTGGCCTCCAAGAGCGACGCGAAGTCTCCTCACAATTACGAACGGCAGAATGATATCACCTGCGAGAGTTCAAGTTCTCTATCCCCACACGCTCAAGCAGACGAAACGTCAGACACCTCCAATGCCAGAGTAAACGTTGGAGCAGACGGATCTGAACTCAAAATTGCAGAGCGCGAGACGAAGATAGACTGCACATTCTGCGGTTCCCTCGATCAACCACTCCAATGCTGCCAGGCTCTCACACTTTCACATCCTTGCCCTCACTGCGACGAGCTCAGCCAACTCTTCAACCGCAAAACCAATGAACACAAAGACGAGATAGCCACTCTGCACGAAAAGCTACAGCGACTGGAAAAAGAGTCACCGGAACAAAAGTTCACCCGGTTATGCGGCGAGAAGAACACGAAGATTGATGGACTGAAAGCCGAGGTCGAGAAGATCAACAAGGAAGACGAGTCATTGAAAGTGGAGAACGATGAGTTGGAGAAGAAGCTGAAGGAGCTCGAGGCGGAGATCAAGAAGTTACAGCCACCTGCGACGTTCACGGTCAAGGAGAAGAAGACGAAAGGGAAAAAGAAGTAGAGTCTGGAAGTTCTTGAGGGCGTCATTTCTGCTGGCATTGTGTATGAGAAGCGCTCTTTGCCGATTACATGATGATTTGGCACTGCTTCTACCTCTTCGGCGCGGCTTTGTAGTCTCTCCGCTAATCAAACAATTGGCACTGATACCAGGAACCCAAGGCTGAAACTTCCCAGTATCCGCATGCACAGGCTAAGGTACATCGTATCATGTTACCTATCTAGAGTCCCCCAGACGTCGTCGAGCTTGTTCAAGCTTGGCGTCCAGCGATGCAACCTCTGCTTTCTTCTTCTCCATTCAACTTAGCCTGGCTAGGTCTCTGCAGGTCTTTCCATGGTCTCCTTGGACGTCTTGAGATCTGTGTTCTCTTTCTTTAACCTCGCATTCTGCTGCTCAAGCTCCTGAATTCTCGCTGCGGGGTCCAATACCTGCTTCAAAGCAGTGATAAGCCGGTGGTCCAGTGTCTTGGCTTCATACCGGGCGGTCTCGAGACTACTCTTGGTTATACTCAGAGTCTCATGGGTGAAGAGCTTGTCGACGCGCAGATCGGAGATTTCTTTGTCCTTCAAATCAGAGAGTTAAGCAACCTTCAAGTCGAATTGTTCTTTTAGTTGGGCAATCAGTGCCTGTAGTGGCGCGTAAACCGTCTTCATGACCTCGTGGCACAATCTCTCGGCGTCACGTTCTTGGGTCCACAACGCCGCCTCCTCATCGTGCAGCTGAATACTCAGCTCTGTTAAGGCAGCCTCGGAAGCTCTCTCATGTTCTTTATCATCGGGCTGTGCTTTTTGTAGCTTAGCAATTTGTTGGCTGATGCTCTCGATAGCGGTCTCGACCTCAGCAATCGCTTCGCCAGCACGTTGGCCTTCGGAAACAAGAAGAGCTATCGAATCATGCATTCTTCGCAAACACACATAAATTGCGATAAACGGCGTCTCCTTTCCGTCTAGCTCCAAGGTTGTTTTGACCCACTCCAGGAAATCGTTTTGTGTTGTGGCCTCATGCGTCGCGTTCTCTGTTGATGGAGTAGTCGCGGATGGTATCGCTGCAGATACAGGATTGTCCGGACTGAACAGCCCGCAGACTGCGGATAGCCACTTTTCTGTACTCTCCAAATGCTGTTGACCAAAGGGACTTCCCGTTGGACTTCCGGTAGAGTCATGCTTGCTGGAAACGCCCTGAACACCGGCGAGGCCGTTGTCATCTGGCCTTTGGAAGTGGAAGCCTCCCTCATCAGCTGATGTAGGCGCCATGGATTCCTCGGTCTGGCCTTCCGCTGGTGGGTGGGGAGAGGACGGGAGGAAGCGGGTTCCCCGAGAATTGTTTTGGGAGTTATGATCTGTGCGCGTTTGCTCTGAAGCAGTCTCAGTATCGACTGGTGAGCTGCCATCTGACTTTTCAGGGTTTTGCAATTCGTCTTGATCGGCTTTCTCATCAGTTTGAGACGTGCTGGACATGATGTGGTTTGAGACTGATCCAGTCGCGTTTTGTAGGTGTTTGGTCGTCCGACGTGCGTCGCGCTGATGGAATGATAATATGGTCGTACCTTTGGGGCGGTCTATCAGGCAGGCGGTTGTTGTTCCCGGAAGTCGGTCAGGTTTTGGAAAGCAGTATAAGTGTCAGGGTTAGGCGGGAGTTGCGATGGAAGTTGTTGGTGCTTGTTTGTTCTATGTCATAACGGGAAATCGCGCTGGGACCTGCTGTACAGCCTTGGAGAACAGTCCATAAAATGACCGGCTCTTGTGACACAATCAGTCACCCTTTGTTCTTCGTAATATACTCTACCCCACGTCGCCTGCATAATCTTCTCTTATTACCCAACCTTTTTAGAAAGACCTCGACCTAGTCCAACTCTCCAAACCCATCGGCTCGACCAGACTTCAACTACGTAGAAATGCCAGAAGAGATGCCAGAAAGCAGCGCCCAAGAAAAGCGCGACTACATCAAGGCGTTGAAAATACAGATAGAGGAAGCAGAAGAAGAAGACAAGAGGCTAGAAAGAGATCTAGAAGAGCGGAGGCAGGAGCTGAAGGAGCTGGAGGCCAAAATTAGGGAGAAAGAAGGTATACCATCAAACTAGACATGGAAAAGAAGATGGCGATGAAGAAATGAGTAATAGGTAGAAGGGCAGCTTCGGTCAGGTCTTGGTTGATGTGAGGCGGTCTCACGATGAATTTCACGGATTATATGACAGTAGGAAGGCCCCACACATATACGCAGCTGATGAGTGTTCTTTTATTTGGACAAAGCTGTGAATGGCAGTCGGTTCCCATCGTGCTCGTTGTTCAAGGATCGCGCTCCGCGGTGGTGTTGATGAATGCATGCAAAGGCCGCGACGCGAAGGCAAGACTGCGCATCCAATGGCATCTGCCACTTCCTGACTCGAATGCGAAACCCGAACGGTGAAAGCTCAAACCCCACAAATATCAGAACAGCGTGGCCTCTTGGGAGTTTGGTGGGAGATTCGCGATAGCTCAGGGACGGAGCTACGGCTAGCGCGCGCACGGGTAATTTCCCCAGCGACACGTTGCGAAAGCTCATGAAGCAAACCCCCTCTCCATCTTCCATCAACTGGCTGTTCGCAACCACCTTCTTCACCTTCTCGTTGTCTTCTTTCTTGTCTCTGGGCCATAGTTCGCAATCATGAGCGGCCGTAAGTCTCCATTCCACCTGTCAATGGCCCGGCGAGGCGTGCGCGCAACACCTGCGAGGAATTAATCACGGCGCGGACGAACACCACAGCTAACAGTTGCACGTAGTACGGTTCCTCGATCTCGTCAAGCCTTTTGTGCCTCTGGTTCCTGAAATTCAGCTGCCAGAGAGCAAGGTCCCTTTCAACAACCGCCTGGTATGGACCGGTCTTACCCTCCTCGTCTTCCTCGTCATGAGCCAGATGCCGCTCTACGGAATCGTGTCGTCTGATACCTCCGACCCGCTATACTGGCTCCGCATGATGATGGCGAGTAACAGAGGAACGTTGATGGAACTGGGTATCACCCCCATCATCACCTCCGGCATGGTTTTCCAGCTCCTCGCGGGAACCCACCTCATCGACGTCAACCTCGACCTCAAGTCTGATCGCGAGCTCTACCAGACCGCGCAGAAGCTCCTCGCTATTCTCCTGTCTTTCGGTCAGGCCGTCGTCTATGTCATCTCGGGTCTCTACGGACAGCCATCCGACCTCGGTGCCGGTATCTGCGTTCTCCTCGTCATTCAGCTGATGATCGCTGGTCTGATCGTTATCCTCCTCGACGAGCTCCTCCAGAAGGGCTACGGTCTCGGCAGCGGTATTTCGCTCTTCATTGCCACCAACATTTGCGAGTCCATCATGTGGAAGGCTTTCTCGCCCACCACCATCAACACTGGTCGCGGTCCTGAGTTCGAGGGTGCTCTCATTGCCCTTGTCCACCTGCTCTTCACCTGGCCCAACAAGACTGTTGCGCTCAAGGAGGCTTTCTACCGCCAGAACCTCCCAAACGTCATGAACCTGATCTCCACCGTCATCGTCTTCGGTGCTGTCATCTACCTCCAGGGCTTCCGCGTTGAGATCCCCGTCAAGTCCGCCCGCCAGCGTGGTGTCCGTGGCTCATACCCCGTCCGCCTGTTCTACACCTCCAACATGCCCATCATGCTGCAGTCGGCTCTGTCCTCCAACGTCTTCTTGATCAGCCAGATGCTCTACAACCGTTTCTCCGACAACCTCCTCGTCAAGCTTCTTGGTGTCTGGGAGCCCAAGGAAGGTTCCGCTCAGCTTTTCGCTACCTCCGGTGTCGCCTACTACATGTATGTCTAGTCATAGTTCACACTACAGAACCAGCCACTAATTAGCTCCAGGTCTCCCCCTCTCAGCATCACCGAGGCCCTCTCCGACCCCTTGAAGACCGCCATCTTCATCGTATACATGCTCGTCGCTTGCGCTGTCTTCTCTAAGACCTGGATCGAGGTTTCCGGCTCATCTCCCCGCGATGTTGCCAAGCAGCTCAAGGAGCAGGGTCTGGTCATGGCTGGTCACCGTGAGGAGTCCATGTACAAGGAGCTCAAGCGCGTCATTCCTACCGCGGCTGCCTTTGGTGGTGCCTGCATTGGAGCTCTGTCCGTCGGCAGCGACCTTCTCGGTGCTCTCGGCAGCGGTACTGGTATTCTCCTTGCCGTAACCATCATCTACGGATACTTCGAAATTGCCGCCAAGGAGGGCGACATGGCCGGCCTCAAGGGTATGGTCATGGGCTAGATTAGCCCATAGGGATATTGGATTTTTGATTTGAACGACGGATGGGTTGGGGCTGGGGTGCTTCGCCGCACATTGTAACATATGATCTAAGAACAAAAGTTTACGAAGGTCTCTGGCATCACTTTACGTACTGCAGCATGGCGTCTGGCTAGGCTCACGATGTCGGCCCTTCTCTAATGTATCATTGTTAACCCTTAAACTGCGTTTGGACCTGATCGCACCTGCAGTACCTATTCACTTAAAGCACTCACGTGCTCAGCCTTGGCGTGTTGCTCCTGGCGCCTTACTCATCGAGCTCCAGTCGTTCTTGCCCTGTCTGTTGCTTGCATAGGTATCGCATCCAACGACAAGTATGCCTCCGCCCTCATCAAGAGCCCACGTCATGGATTCAACCTTCAACGGCAGTATCGCATTGGTCAGCTTAGCGAATGCGAAATGTGGCTTACGTGCGTATCAAACCGCCACGCTAACGCATGCTGCGGTCTGCGATGCGAAAGTCTGGGCATTGCGGCCTAGGAAACATCGTCATACACAGCATTGAGGCGTTTTACACATGGGTAATGCGAAGATTAAGCGAATGCGATGTACTGCTGCGGATGCGAAATCTGGTCATGATGCAGTGCGTGTCTTCAGTTTGGACGACTACATAAGATGGGGTTGTCGCTGTTGAAGGTGAGGTATTGCAGCTATCTGTTTCACTTCTTTCTCGAGTTCTAGTACTCATACTTGATCGTTTCGCTCGGACTCCGGTTGAACCGTCATCATGGCAAGCTCACTTAGCATCGCTCATGCTACGCTGGACTGGAAACGACAAAATCCACCCAAAGGACCGGACTTCGATTGGGAAATGTACCGTTATGTTCCTTCCATTGCTGGAGCGATCGTCTGTCTCGTCGTATTCCTCGTCATGGCTCTTCTACATTTGTACCAGTTTCTCAAGTCGAGGAATCGGATCATCGTCTTTGTTGTTATCGGCGCATTATGTACGTTATATCCTCCTGATGATCTCTCACATACCAGTGGCACTCCATACGCAATGTCTTTGAACTTTGCTAACACTCGATTGCAGGCGAAGTTGGCGGATACGGCGCACGCATCGCTTCTCACTTCGATAATCAAGCCTGGGGCCCGTACATCACTCAAGGTGTACTGACGCTTGTCGGTCCTCTGTGGTTCGCCGCAACCATATACATGATGCTTGGCCGTACCATCAGACTCGCCGGCGGAGAAGACGTCAGTCTGATCCCAGCGAGATGGTACACGAGGATCTTTGTCACCGCGGATGTTACAACGTTGATCATCCAGGGCTTAGGTACGTAGACTCGACATAGATGAAGACCGCATGAACATAAGCTAACGACTTAACAGGCGCCAGCATCATGGGCACCATGCAACTCGCCCTCGCCCTCGCAGGCGAGAAGATCGTCATCGCGGGGCTCGCACTCCAAGTCGCTACCTTTATCGTCTTTCTCGTTGCCTCATTCGACTTCCAAATTCGCATGAACAAGAAAGCCGATCATCCCTCAACAGACTGGAAGAAGATGCTATACATACTCTACAGCGTCAGTGCGCTGATCTTGTTCCGCTGCACATTCAGACTCATCGAGTATGCCATGGGCAACGCTGCGTATCTGATTGCGCATGAATGGACGTTGTATTGCTTCGATGCTGTGCCAATGTTTTTGGTCTTGGTGCTGTTGCTGGTTCTGCAGCCGAGTCGCTATGTTGAGGGAAACTTGGGGAAATCGCGACTGGACAGCGATGGCGAGGTCGGCGTTGTGGAGAGAAAGTGAAGGGTTTTGGCAATTTGGTCAGTACTTTCAGCGCGCTTGAAGCAACTTTCCGGGGCGTCCTCTATTTTCCTAGGCGCAATACATTTTGCCTAATCTCTTCAGTCTGCTCAAGACATCGTCTTTTCGGTGAGTCTTGGTATGTGTGCCTGAACCCACGCAGGCGAAACATCTCGAATGCCTTCGACTTTGTACAGCAGGCTACAACATGATTTCACATGCCAACAACGTTTATCTGAGCTTGACAGCCGGCCGTTGCGAAAGTTCACTCTGACCCCTATGACGTGCATGACTCGAGGTAAGTCAGATCTTAGCTCTCAAGCTTGGAATAAGCGCACCCAGCCACATCCGGCGGCACGCCTCACGCAGCACCACCTCATACTTCCAGAAAATGTGATTCCTCAATCCATACTAGCTACACACAGACATCAAACGGGATGGCGCGCCGCTCGACCACGTTCGTGACTAAAAGGCCGCATCGCAAATCGAGGGGCGGATGCTTCACCTGCAAGAAGAAGAAAGTGAAGGTACATTCAATATCAAGAGCATTCAAATAGGAACGTGGTATTGATCTGGTGCAGTGTGACGAAACGCAGCCCAAATGTGGTTACTGTAACCTCCGAGATTTGGACTGCGAATATATTCAGAATGTCCCCTCGACATCTCGGACGTCGTCCGCCGGCCCATCGTCCAGTGACGAGGGTCTACCATCTACATCCAACACTCCAGCAAACTTCAACGATCTTTCTGCCCAGTTGATACCATATCTTAGCCCACACTGCCATACATCCATAGGCACCCTCACAGCGCTCGACAGTCATCTACTGCAATACTACAGAACAGACGCCTACCGCACCGTCGTATCCTGCGACGATGCCATCATCCAGAATCTACACAAAGAGACCATACCCCAACTAAGCATATCCAACCCATTTCTCCTATACGCCCTACTCGGCATGACAGCAACCTACAGCAACAACATCACGCCCAACAAGACGGTCGAAAAGCAAGCCCTGCTCTACCGCCAGAAGACCTTTTCAGCCTACAAAGAAGCCCTCAAGAACATCACAGCTGAAAACTACGAAGCCGTCCTCGTAACAGGCGGTCTCCTCCTTGCGCTTGTCCCTGGGCCGACAAATGACAAAGACGAAGATCATCTCGAATGGGTGTTCGGCCTCCTTAAACTAAGCGAAGGCCTACGTATCCTCGCCTCCCTCCGCTGGGCCCAAGGCATCGAGAAACTCTCCGTGTATCCGCTAGTACGCCGGGAGATCAAGACGCTGCCACCACCACCCATCATCGACGTCACAGGCATCGAAGCGCCTATTGGCCCTCTGGGAACGACGCCTGATAACCCCAATCCAGCACCGACATACACGCCCATTCATTTCCCCACGCAGAACCGCCTCTTTCTTCCACCGCCGCTGATGCAACTCCTCCAAAGCGTTATCCGTGGAAAGGAGTCAGGAACGCTAGACTGGCACCGACCAACCCTTCTCCCCGTCTTCCACGCCCTATCCCCCATCTTTCTATCTCTGTATTACTACGGGCTAGACTCTGACTTCTACGTCCGCATCTTCGTCTGGACATCCTTCCTCATGCCGGACTATCTCCAGCTGATGCGGGATAAGGAACCAAGGGCTCTGGTGCTATTCGGGTGGTGGTTGACGCTGGCGAATCTAGCGCCGAAGGGGTGGTGGACGGGGAAGCGAGTGCGTAAGACTATGGGGGCGATGATGCGGGCGATTCAAGCGCAGCCTGTGGGGGATGGTGGGTTTGCAGAGCGTGTTCTGGGGAGTGCGTTGAGGATTGTGGATGTTGTGGATAGGGAGGGGAAGGAGGCGGCGGCTAAGGCGGTGTTTGATGACTGGCCTGGTGTTAATTGGGAGGAGGGGCCGGGGAGGGCTCAGGCGTGGGAGTATGGTCAGTTGGTGGATCTGGGGAACTTAGATGGCGGTTTGGATATGGGTGCTGCTGTGGGTATTGATCTACAGGAGCTTGGTATATCGGTTTGAAGTAGATATGAATGCCATTGCGCACGAAATGGATACAAGCCTGCTTATTGTCCTATCTCGGGCGTTGTCCCAGCTGTCTCTGCAGCAACGTTCTTGTTTCCTGCCTCCGAGTCTTCCTGGTCCTTCCCGCCTTTTGGCTCCCTGAGCATGCAATATAGCTTGATCGCGTCCTTCTCCCCCTCTCCATCTCTACACTCCATCTCCCTCGCCAACCGAAAGCCAAACTTCTCATAGATAGCGATATTCGGCTCACTCCTGCTACTCTCCAAATAGCACATCTTCCCCTCCTTGTCAGCCATATCCAGCACCTCTTCCATCAATGCCCTTCCCACACCCTGTCCCTGGCACTCCGGCAACACAGTAACGATGTTGCAGAAATAGTATCCCTTTGGGTCCGTCCAGAGTTCAGACTGCGCTTCCGCCTGTCTTGCCTTCCATATCCAATATCGCGTTGTGCTGAGGCCGCCGCGTCCGTACCACAGGTTCATGCGTATTTGGTTGGCCCAGAGATACCAGTACGAGAGGTATAACGACCAGGACTCGGGCTCGGACGTGGGTCGCGGTGGGAGCCACATGGCGCAGCCGAGGATCTTGGACGGGTTCGAGGTGTCGCGTGCGACGTGGAAGAGGCCATGTTCGATGCCCCATCGGCAGCGCAGGGTGAGTGATACACGGTTTCGGGTCAGCGAGACCTGGGAGGGTTAGCAACGCGCGCAAGAAGACGGGTACCGATAAAAGTACCTTCTCACGATCTGGGAAGACCCAATTGTTGTAGGGGTCATTGGCGAAGGCTTGTTGTATGGTATCGATTGCGCCGTCGATATCGGCCTCTTTCATGCGCGTTACTTGGATGGGCATTGTGAGAGGTTCTGTGGTGTTAAGATATTTCGAGACTCTTCGTGTCACGGCGGCAGTAGATACGAAGATATATGTGCCAGTCTCAGAACTGGAAAACTTCGATAACCAGCCATAATAGGTGCGGGGAGGTTTGTAGAGCTTGTCGCATGCAACAGGTGGATAGGTGATGAGATGGGAAGGTATAAGCGACAGTCACGTGCATTGCGGGGCCTTCCGATCCTTATCTGAGCAGGCGCGTACGAACCATCTTCACCAATCCTACCTGCAGCTGTCTTGGCCTTGTTACACAGCTTCAGCCTGGTAACAATGTCAGCTTTCAGGAATGAAAGTCCGGCCTTGGTGCCTTGGACCTGCGTGACAACGCACACTAAACACCACGGAGACTTCCAAGCAAAGACTCAGACGGGCTATGCGACTTCCTGGCCCATCCATTGGCTTGAAACGATCTCAGACAGATACTACTAATGGCCAAGTCCAGCTGCGCCCTGGCGATCAGGCTGAAGGTGGGGTAGAGATGGCAGCAGCAGATCTGCTTCTTCGCCGGCCCATGTCTCCTTCGCTACAATTCGGAGATGGAAATGAACCTACCATGTTGCCAGACATTAGCAGCTTTCCTTTGACGCTACATACGCGTCGACATACGGCTGGACACATTACCAGCTCTGCTAATGTACAACCTACGCCGCGTCGCAATGATAATCACATGGAACCTGTGGATTTCTACGACGCCTCATCCGAGCCATCCGTCATCAAACACATTGAAGCTTCTACACAAACATTGTCAGCAGATGGAAGCGATCTGACTTCTATCGGACGAGACCCATTCTGCAGACCATGGGACTCCAAGTCAATAATAAATCGTATATTATCGGAGATGGATGCCGCAAGCGCTCGAGATGCTCTCGAAAGCCTTGGGGTTACCGATCTGTGGCTACCGCTGTCGAAACAACTACTTAAACGGTTACTAAGTGATCCTCATCATGTCTCCGAGTTTCTCGAACTACAAGAAGAGCATCTCAGTGTGGTTCTTGCGCGTTGGACGCAGCCTGCCACAGGAGAACATATACGCGACATGATGTTCAATCACTGCGAGTTTGAGGACGACGAAGAAGTTTTTGAGGAGAATCGTATGCTCGGCGAAGGGATGGTCGGTCTTGTCGAGGAGGTGACTGTACGAAGCCGAGAACCACCTCTTATATGCGTACGAAAGAAGATCGCAAGGCCTAAACAGCTCAAAGCGCATCGGCAGATCATGGCTGCCTTCATTCGGGAGATCAAAGTCATGCGTCAAGTCGATCATCGCCATTGCGTTCGGTTTCTTGGGAGCTATACCGACAATGAGTCTGTCAATATTCTCTCGACGCCGGTGGCTGATATGGATCTTGCTGCCTTTCTTGACAGACCTATTGGAGACCGGGAATGGGCCATACTCTACAAGGGCATTGACTGCCTTTGCAATGGGCTGTAAGTGCATGCCAACCTACAGTCCCACGCCATCGAGCTTCAGACAGCGATGGTGGAGGGATTTCACGATGACTGCAATGTTGACGTAAGAGGGAGCTTTCGCTAATTGCCTTCTAGATTGTATCTCCATGACAATAAGATTCGGTAAGTACGTTGAAGTTTAGTCAAGAATATGTGGACAAGGCGCGCTATATGATCGCTTTCGTCTATTACATTCAGTAGACAGTCCCCCAAAAGGTAAGGCTGACACGGCTTAGGCACGAGGATCTAAAGCCGCAGAACGTTCTCGTCCATGGCACCAACATATTGCTCACCGACTTCGGATTCAGGTAAGTCAAGCGCCCAACGAATACACTACAGCGCTAATTGTACGCAGTCTCGACTTCTCTGATGACTCTGTTTCGACGACTACAGGACGCCCATCAGCGTGGACGATTCGCTATTCTGCTCCAGAAGTCTTGGACTCCGAACCACGCAACCGAGCTAGTGACATATTCTCTCTTGGATGTGTTTTGATAGAGATGGTCTCAGGACTCTATGGGCACAGCCTCTCGAGAGTCAAGGAATATTGGAAGATGACTGGTAACGGACAGTCAAGCTTTGCACGCAACCCCCGAGCGACGTCTTCATGGATCGAATTCCTGTTAGATAATCCTGCGTTCGGAAGACTAGACCAGATCGTCGACTTCCTGCCGGAACTACTGGTCACAAAGCGGCTTGATCGACCGTCGGCTGGGACAGTTGTAAATACATTGAAAGGTCTGGGTCTACGTTTTCCAGACCCTCCACATCTTTTCAACACCTGTTGCGGGCCACCGGTAGGGCGGATAGAGAGTCGCCACCCAAAGTGGGTTGGAGGAAGTGGTTTGTTAGAAACACGGGACCCACAGTTCTGGTCGGACCTTCGCAGCTATTTCGATGCTGTTGCAGACCCCGACATGACATATGTCGTACTTGACCAGCGTTTCAAACAAGTCGCTGCTAAGCATGATAATTACTCCCATCTATTGGATATGCTCGGCGATGTTCCCTCAGTTACGGCGGCTTGCGAATCGCTCTTTCTCAAATCCGACAAGACCAAGCCGCTATCGTTCTACTCACACAGCCAAACTGTTGCATCAACACAGCTACTGGACTTGGACCACGTGTTGCCGCAGGTACTTGAAACGTACACCTCCTGGAAGGTTATATTCACAGCGCTGAGTATAAATCTTCCTACTGTCAAAGCGCAATGGGTACCGAAAGCTCCAGTGCCTTTCCAAGTTAACGGACTCTCAACCATATGGCGTGAGCGGACAGTACAAATCTCCATGGTTGGCCATGATCATTGCCCAGCCGACAACCGCTGCTTCAGGTCCGTATTCTACGTGTTGGCATTTAAACTGGTCGAGAAAGGATACGAGCCTTCAAAGCTGGGCGCACTCGTTATTGACCTGAGTATGACGACACCTCATCAACTCGAGATGAACGACAACTGGGGAGTCGGTTCCATGACAACGTGAGAGTATTGCACACAGTAAAAGGTGGCCAGCCGATGGTAGCGTGGATGTTACACTACAACTACTGCGTGAGGCTTCTGGCGTGTAGAAGTATTTCGTGTGACGGGCTCCTAAGAGGGCGAGAGCGGAGCACGGCGAATCTTAGGGCCACAAAATCGTGGACGATTGATTTCCCAACATCCTGTAACATAACCTTACCAACTAAGCACGATCATATCCTAGAATATACACGAATGCGGGTCGAGACCAAGATCAGTACCGTATACAGCAAGAGCTTGGACAAGGACCAGGGTGTAGGCCAATCGACTATGTCATTGTTCGTGTAGTGAGTATGCTCTATGTGCAGTCGTGATCAAGGAAGAACTGATCTGAATGGTATTGAATAGAATAACGTACCTACGCGCAACAATGCTGCCCAAGGCGATGATCCTCAGCGTCAGCACCACACCAAAGGCTACTTGACAACGAAAAGGAAAGAGGGCGAGGCAAGTAGGACTGATGGTGTACGAGACCCAAGTATGAAAGGCAAATGTACAGCATGAGCAGCGATCCAAGCAATGCAACCGAGACCGCAAGGTCCAATTGCAGTCACTATGTGTTAGCGAACAGACAAAGTGGTGGAATAATCGTCGTCCATGGTCCACACGCTCAAAAGTACGCTGCGCATCAAGCGTACGCTTTTTGTGTGACTCAAAAACCTAGATGCGCAGACGCATGCTTACCTTTTCCCTTAACCAGCATCACAACGAATCAAACAACCAAAAAGCTGCATGATTGCTTTTCGTGACCAAGACATTCCGCTTCCGCGATAACGCTCATACACACGCAGCACACACACATGGTGATAGTTCTACACACGAACCCACATACTCACCGCTCGAACCCAAAAGCCCATACTCACACATGCGCTTATGTCAACATGTTCGCACAAAGCAAGCCCCGCACTACACTACAGGACACTACCCCAACCCCAGCCCAACGTCTATTCGTCATGGGATCGACAGTCCTGCATGGCCTGGTCAGTCAGCCTACCGAACCCAGTCCAGCCCAGTCCGATGACACCCTCCCGCACTGTGCGCGGGCGAAGCGAGTGAGCATGAGCGGTTCCGGATAGCGAATGCGAGTATGCATGGGAGCTGGTAGACCTGTTTTGACCGGGCCGTTGTTGGGTTGGGAGTCGATGGTTGATGCGGGTGTGTGGCATGATATGTGTGGCGAGGAGGCGCTGCTTTTTTGTTCCGGGGGGCTATGCTATGCGATGCTCTGAGTCTGTCGTGATTGATGTGGCGAGGGACATGTACATGGTCTTCGTACTTGGGCTGCGTAGTCGGCCCGCTTTGTACATGTATGTGTATACTTATCGGTGGATGGAGGGTACCGGCGTTGTTGATACGAACGTCTATCGTGTTAGGTCTATTGAATATTTTTTTGGTGGTGTTAGGCCATGAGTAGGCACATGATGTCAACGTCCGAACGTCGGCATTTTCCTCCTTTGCGATCAACATGTCGACGATCTCTGTTCAACATCTTAGGCTCTCGCTTACGGCGATGTAGTATACCGTGAGGAATCAGCTGATTCGCCGGGTTATACAGCCTTGTGTCCGGCTTTTTCCTTGAACCGTGGCGCTGTAAAGGTTAGGTATGAGGAACAGGCAGCCAACCTTGTTCGGATATAGAGCATGGATGCAAGCGCGAATACGGAATGAGACGGGTTGGATACTTCGTGAGCTTCCGCTTAAAGGCACGATTATCGGCGTTGCATCCGTAGCGACGATCCGGAAATTCTTGGTTCCGAACTGTTACCTGGCATTTTAACATGCACATGGAAGGCACAGTAAATAGCAATAATGTCCCAGGGTGCTGAGGCAGCAGAACCAGGCCGTGTTGCAAGATGCATCTGCCGGAGGACAGGCGGAGACGGGTACTGTACGCAGCGCAGCATAAGTGGGCAGCTAACAAGACGCAACTAGAGATTCGAAAGCGAGAACCTGAGCCATCCTTGGATCATCGTGGTACTTGTTGATCAACTGAGAGAACGTAGCCTCCGCAAAGTCGAGACCCTCCGTATGACAGCGTATAGCGCCTGCATGTACCCTTGAACTGTAAAGGGTGGGTAACTATAAGGGCAGATAGTACCACTTGGTGTGCATACAGGCGACCCGCTGGCGGCCGACGATTCAGTGTTGGGCAGTCAGGCAGCCAGTACGTGGGAGTGCGAGAGCGATCGGAAAGAGCGGAAGCAGGAAAAAAGTCGATGAAACACAATCCGGAAAGTTAAGCCACCGTGTTGTGTGGTGCGGGTAGTCCTTGAGCGGTCTGTTTGGGGCAACTCCAGGTCATCCTAGGCACCGGATTACGGTTAATGCTAGTAGCCAAGAGGGGTGGTGTTGCGAATGCGGGCGCTGATGGAGCGCGTACTAGCCGCATCGCCGTGAAAACATCGGTGTGTTCGACAAAGAGGCAAGCCGGGGCTGCCGTGGTCATCAGACAGGCTGGGAGGCAGGTGCGAAGGCGGCAAGTCGGGCAATAAGCGACGTGCGTGTACTCTACGCAGAAACCGATCTATGTCCTGGGCGCCCAAAAATAGGGCGTTCAATTTGCTGAGACGTACAAATCAGGACCATGCAGGTGTGACTGCTTCTGCGCATAATCGTAGGCGAATAAAGAAGGTACTTCGGGTCGTCGCTCAGTGGTGGAAGTGGACTTTTGGGATCGCCGCGTAAGCACAATTTAGCCTAGAGCATGTCTAGAATAAGAAGATAGGCGATTTGCCGATCTGGTGAGGTGGAAAAATTCATGGCGCATGCATGGCATCCGTGGGCCCGTTTGCACCGTCATACACCTGACGGGGAACTACTTGCATAGGAGCTTCCGTAAGTAAGTCTCAGTTGGCAACTCAAGGATGGTCACCTCCACACAAAGGACGGCCCTTGTCAGCAGTGATGCACGCAGTAGTACCGAGCCTTGGATTGCATTTGACACATCGCCTGATGTAACAGCGGCCGAGTGCATGACTGGCGGGCACCAAGTTGTGTCTTACAAACGAATAGCAACTGCTATATAGGGTTCCGACTAGGGGTGTGCTGCTGGAATATTAAAGCGGAGTGCAATTGCCGGATTGGTGCGTAGTATTACAAGACTGAGATCGGTGGTGTAACTGTAAGCGGTAAGCATAATGCTAGAGGTGGCCCGACCTCGGATATTCTATGTGGCAGACGTGCTGATCGAGAAACTTTGCTCTATATTAGCTGCCTTGTCGACACAAGTTGCAGCAGCAAGCGCCTCAATACACCCTGATTCATGATGACGGCCGGATCCATCGCTCCTCAGGATGCATTGTTGTATTGGCATTGAGGCGGTTGGTGGCAGCTAGGTACCGAACCTAAAGAGGTGCGACAGGCAGAAGGGTCGCGGTGGAGCGGCAGAAGGAAAACAAACGCTCGTACTGCGTGAAACCGAGTCACCGCCGGGCCCTGGTAAAGTGGAGAAGATTTTGCGGAGATGCAGGCTGGCTTCAGCTGCTGCGTCGTAAGACAATTAGCATGGGATCGCCCGACAGAAGTTTCATCAGTTGCGCGCTCGGGTGAAGCGAAGGTACAGACGTGTACACGATACCCACGGTCCGGCATGCTCGTGCGGCAGTCTTGGCTAGGTAAAAGTGATGCAGAGTCATGGCTTGTTCTTGTTGATGTACCAGCAACTTGTACACACAAGCGAGTCAACGGCTGTGAGCTGGCACAATGGCGGTCTGACTGGTCAGACTCGTACCCCGGCTACGAGCGCATATCGTGTATGTGGAAATGCCATCTTGCCCCATGGTCGTAGCCCTAGTGATGTTGAGTGGGGTGTCGGTGTCCGATTCCCTCTTCGTGCGTCACACGCGCATGTTCGCGATGCTGTACCGCTGGTGCTTGCCTGAGGTGTGCAGTAGGACTTGTTTCCGGCAAATATCCAAGATTGCGTCGAGCACAACTTGCAGCAGTAAGGAGGCTCACCGACGAGCTAGTGTGGCTGCTGATCCAAGCAGACAGGAGGCTTCAACGGAGGACGGCGATTGGACAAGGGGCTCTCGACGTTGAGCAAGTGGGCTCGCGAGCCGCCTGGTGAGGCTAATGCTCGCTGGTGGGCAAGGATAAAGTGCCGCCGCGCCCGCAAAGAGAATTTCGCGTTCGCATGGGCCGACCATGATCTAGAACACATCACACGCAGACAGGCCGATACCATGCTAAAGGATCGTCGTCGTCCACAAATAATGCAGCTACCAAGCCGACCGAGTTCTTTTTCATGCAACTGGTTCACATCGTGCTTCACCTCGCGCTTGGTTAGGGTGCTTGCGTGACCGGGAAACGACCTGTAGCCTGGCCACGTCTAGTGAATGGTGTTGACAAAACTCAAGGGAACGCCAGGAGGATAGACTATCATGCTGAAGGTAACGTCGTGTCAACATGACCATGGTTGATATGGCAGGGCGGGCCATGAGGGACTTTGTGGTTGGTTTGAGCTAGCGTAGCGATGCCGCTCATACCGTGATTCTCTGCCATTCCAGCATTCTTAGAGATGATGCGACGCCACGTTTGAGACCCACTCGACTCGTGGGCCACCCGCTGATACGTCATTAAAGGGTTTTTCTTCCCGTGTTGCAGATTGCCGGACTGGGGCTGTCAGCGCCTGGCTTCGACACACTGGCACTGTGATGAGTGCAGCACCCGTGCCGCGTCCATCCAAGCGCATCCTCCATAATAATGCCGGAGAAAGCCTTTTTGAAACCACAGTTTTCACAATCTCGATTGATGGAGCTTACGGCGTACAGCACGGCTAGGAAGCACGGGATCCAGATAGTGCAATGTCTGTGAATGGCGCTGTGCCCAATGCTGCGCGGCCTATTGTCTCGAGCGGATCATCTGGACGCGAAACTATGGGAAGACGCGGGTCAGCACTCAGCACCTCGATTCGACGGTTCGTAGATTGAGTGTACAAGATCAAGCGACGCTTTGCAGAGCGGGTTCCGGTGACAGTTCGGTGCTTACTTTTCCTGTTCACATATTCGTCTCGTGATGCACAAGTGTACAGCTGCGCCGCAATTTTCGTGGATCAAAATGACCGAGGCCGCGTGCTGCAGAGTCAGACTGGCTGGGTGTGATACGCGGGATGTGCTGAATTACGGAACACGGTGCATTGATTCGTTCCCTGTGGCTCGCGCTAGTTGCAACATCGTTCACTGACGCCCACACTCGGTGCACTTTGTTGATGACCGACCTGTGATGGGAGTTGCTTCTTTGTTGGTACAATCAGGATCCTACGGCAGGCGCCTGCACACATGGTGCCATGAAATGTCGGCTCCATGATTGGGTTTCAGCTGGACAAAACGGACGCCATGTGTAGATGGGATGTGGCTGCAGCCAAGCAAACGTTGACGATGCTTTTGAGTGCATCCGTGAACAAGACCCCCATGCAAGGACCCAAGTGCAGCTTTCATATGCTCTTTTTGGCGACAAGATGCAAGCCCCCTGACATGATCCTGTTCGTTTGAACCACCAAAAAGATCCTTGCGCCCGCGTTGGACCGCTGTAGATCATTCAGGCGGGACGAAGCCAGGGTTGGTCTCTCGGCGCTTCGGCTGCATCTCATCAGCCACGCGGGGATTTTCTCATTTCTGGTTGTCGAACGGCACTGCCGCTTTGGGCCTGGTCACCGTGGGGTCAACAGGGAGGTGTGAAGACCTTGTCGTGAGATGGAGGGATCGGTCGGCCGCTTGTCATGTTGGTTGAGACAGCGGTGCTGCAAATAACGGTAGATGATAGCGGCATGCTTCAATAGATGGATCCTCACGAAGCATGCGGCTTCTTTGTCACCGGGGCGCAGCCAGGCTTTGTGCTTCGTATTAGGTGCAGCCAGCACTCATCGTGATGATCGGATCCACCCCACCCACGGCGACGTTGAAGGGAATACCGGCGTGCTATAATAGGCTTCGACCTAGTCTATAGATGCGCTATTTGCAGTGCTAGACGATGGCGCGAGCGGAATGACATGCCAGCTACGTGAACGCGCGTATCGCCATACGGCCACACTGTGCCCGGTGTTGAGTGCCGGGTGCGATGCGTAGTGTTTGGATCAACAGCCCGGTCGCTCGGTTGTTCACGCCCGACAGTCGACGTTAGCCACGGTGCGCATGGTTTCAAGGCGTGCCCAGGTGGAGCACGACGCTGGCAAAAGGTTAAAGTGCTTTTCCTCGGCGGTGCCTAAGAGACCAAGGGTGCAAGACTCGACACAACCTCATGTACGGGGGCCCTTTAGGCGTAACCCGTCGTGGCGGCACATGTACCCAGGCCGGGGGGTCGACCGATGGACGGCGGCTTCTTGCGTCCGGTGTGCTCAGCGTGTGAGGGACAGTAGCGACAACACCGTAGTCAGTATAGAGGACTAGAGGATGCAAGGCTGATGACATGCCGATGCTCAGCGCTGATTGCTCCAATCTCCGCGAGTGGCTCGCCGTTGGCTGTGTGACCTCGGCCAGCGATGCATGTCTGATGCTGCATGCCTCTGCAAAGTCCCATGTCATCGACTCGCCCGTCCCCGTTACAGGCGGCAGGGGTGGACTAGCTGCATGCCGATTTCTGGAAGACGCTCGGCTAGGGGCAGGCCAATGGACAGCCCGGAGGCGCGCCCACCCCAGATCGCGCTTGGACACCGTGGGCCAGCAGTGTGGTTTGCCGGCTGCACGCGCGACCACGCAGGAGGTGCTGGGTGCGGGTATGGTGGACCGATTGCAGTGCGCGGGCGGCGCTGATTGGCTTATGTCACTAGCGCGAGGGCTGCTGTGAAGGAGTAGGCGTAGCGCAGCAGGACCCAACCTCGCTCCGCTTCTTCCAACCCTTTCCGAAACTACTGCGCCAACCAAAGTTTGACCCCCCATCCGCCCCTGATCTCGCGATGCTGCTGGCGCCGACACGGATCGTTGCTGGATAATGCACTTCGTTCTGCAGGCCTCCCACACACGACGCCCCATGTCGCCCATGAAGTATCGCCGGCCGCCTTCCACTAATCATGCCATGCGCAGGCGCGGCTAAAACATGACGCTCCTCTTCCCTAGCTGACCGCCTGGAGGCCACCGCCCCATGCACACGACACTCTCCCCGGCGTGGAGCCCAGCTGAGTCGCACTGCACCGCTCGACAGGGCCTAGTCGCACTACCGCTTTCTGCCATCATCGTTGCGGGCGCTGTGGTTCCCTGGCCTGCCTTCTCCATGAGCCGGCCGTCGTCTAGCTGCACGGATGCTCCGTTGCGCGTTGCGCCATGATACATGGTACGCCGCCCTCGTCTACCTTCCCTGTCGTGTGATTTGGTCATTCCAAGTCTTCCTTTTCGCTCCACGCACTATGCCTTTCGTTGATCGTTCCAGCCGTGCCACTGGCCCTAGTCGTCACAGCGCACCTCACCGAGCCATCCCTTGGTGGCTCCGTATAGTCAATACACTCCCGTTCCTTGTCTGCACCTATTCCACTATTAGCTGTTCTTGAGTTTCGCTAGCCTGGCCCTGGCCGTCCTTGTACCATGACTCCGGCCGCGAGGTTACTCTACCTCAATTTCCCCATCCACCCTTCCTGATCTGTCTATATCTCTTGGCACCCCATATACCTATGCAGATGCCCCCCAACCCAGCACGCTTCCAGGTCAGACAAGACTGATTGTCACCGACACAACCGCCTGCCACATACAAACCGCTGAGACATTCCGCCTCTCTCCTGTATATCATCACTGCCTTCCCACACTACGACTTGACTACACCACCACTTGCCCACCATGTCCGGCCACATGCAAACCTCAACGCTTCACCGGCGTACCTCTCGCAGCTCAGGCAGCCAATCAGCATGCCGATCATCTCGCGTTGAAAAGACAAAGAGCCACCACAACAGCCCAAAGAGCATGGAGAGGAGAAAGACTACCACCGAGACCAAGCTCTACGCTTCGTTGGACGACCACTACAGAATGATGTTCGGTGTACCAGCCGAGGAAACCGAAGACCGTCCCCAACCAAGCAGACCTGTGAGCTGGCACCCATCGTCTGCACAGTTCCAGGCTTCACAACAAACCAACTACTTCGAGCCCATGCCTCAACAACACTGGTCACAACACTACTCACCCTCATCTCGCGACTCTCAACACGGCTCTGACTTCTACTCTTTGTCCACACGGAACTCCATGTTCGAGCCTATGACCAGCACCCCGACATACACCAACACCCAGTCCGAGAGCGGCTGGCAAAGCGTTCAGCCCACACCCGGCTATGTCCACTCTTCTCTAAACACTCCCTCGACCGAGCCCCTCCCATGGTACCTGCAGCAATGGGCTCAAAAGAACCAGGCTCAAGCATCTACCGACTTCCTGCCTATTCAACACCCTGCTCAGCAAGACCAGGATATGGAAGACGATGATGGCGAGAAGCTAGTCGCACTGGGTCTCTACGATGCACCAGAGCCCTCATTGAGCTGGGGTGCCCTCAACAACGAAGGAACTGGAAAGGGTCTCAAGCTCGAGGAGACTTGGCAGCCACCTGAGGCTGACGATGAAGAGGAGGAAGATGACGATGCCAGCTCTGAGGCCAGCGTCGAGGAGCCATCGCCGCCTCTGCCGGCACAACAGGCACAGCACCTGCCCGTTCATGTCAAAGCTCAAACACCAAACAACATGGAAGGACAGAGCTTCTTCTTCGACGAAGACGAGTCGGTGACCAAGGAGTGGTGGTTTCACCAAATGAAGCAGCCCACCATGCCGGTGCGGGACGCCGGGCTGGGATATGGCTGGTTGTAATCTAGATGTCTGTTTCAAACGTGCGACCACGACAGAGGTCCACTGCCCTATCTTCGAGGCGAGCATTTTTTCGAGGCGAGTTCTTTCAGCACAGCGCGGCGTTTGCATGGTTCCGCTTGGGACCGGAAAAGAGACTTAGAGATACCCTGCCTTTAGCGGCAATAGAGTGAGGCTTTGCATCGCTCACTATGAGGTCAGATGAAAATGATGTATTAGATAGCATCATCAACCAAATCAACCAAATCAACCATACTACACCATACTTTGGCCCAACATGCAGTGCTGACGAGTCTACTCTATGATGCTTGTGAACACATAGTGCCCAAGAAGCCTGGCAGTGAGCCGTTGACGAGAAAGGAAGGTGCACCCCATCCACCACTTGGCCTGCCCCAGAACTCACAGGATGCCGTAACACGATGCATCCTCGTCCTCCACAACCCACAAGCTTCTTCAACGCTTCTAGCCTTTTCGCTCAACCGTGGTCCCAACGCACTCTCGTCTCGGCGCAAGCCGCCATGTACCAGTCCTTAGTGCACCAAACACATTGCATTCCAAGGCGACCAGCACAAGACACACCAACATCATATGTCGGCGACATGCCGCCGTCCTCCGGTCCTAGTCTGACGCAACAGGGCCAGCGCGCAATTGTGTCACAACGCCCGGCAAAGGACCGAAGACCGATAAAATAACAGAGTAGCATCAGCCTCACAAAGTGGCATGATTGATGGGCGCAAACACGCACACACCATGTCGGAGTGACGCAGACACCTCTACGGTCCGACCGATCGTTACGCCGTCAGACGGAGCGAGCCACGCCAGCCCTGCGCGGCAGAAGGCTATGGATGCTGCACCATCGCCCTGGTCTCTGCACTCTTTTTCTGCTCAGCTCCGCCCAACTTCGGCCAGACCCGCTTCAGTTGCCCTGACCGAACATCTGAGCACCTCTGGGCGTCTAGTGCCGAAGTTTACCAGCTAACCGAGCAGCAGGATGTGCCACGCTGCCTGTTCCCTCCTGTCATGGTCGTCACCGGAGACTAAGCAAGTAGCGCGGAGTTTAAGAGTTCAGACAACAGAGGTTCCAGAAGTTGGGGTGCGTGGCTTGTGAGATTGGGTTTGCGATGGAAGATGGGGGAGAGGAAAAAAACAATTCCAAGGTTTTGCCGGGTGGCTTTGCGTCATTGGCTCGATGCTAAAGGCCATGGATGAGACTTTTAGCGCTTATCGATAGGGCGAGCAATCTGGAACGACTGAGGAAATTTCCAACGCGAGTTCACGTGCCTTCACCTGCGACGTTACATGCCCAGGTGCTGAGCTAGCCAATAGCAGGGTTTGAAACTTTGGCATTGCAGAAACGCGTCCATCTGCGCGACTGCGACTAAAGATATGGAATCGCATACCCGGTTTGTTGTTACGGCGTGGCGTGATAGTCGCGAGCTGCTTCAGCTGCGCCAGGACCTGTATAGTCCTGAGACTAGTAGGAGAGAGAAGGCGGTGAACAAGGTACGCTGGAAGAAATCAATATACTCTGCAGGAGAGTCGACAGCCACGGTGTGCTGATGACAGGTAGGTGTTTGCTTGGCGACTACGGAAACCTGATGGCTTGCCATTGCTGCTGGACTCGACGGCGGATATTGTCGATGTAGTGCTTCAAGATGCAAGAGACGAGTTGCAACATAATGCACTGCGGTTGCTGTATGCGACTGCGATATCGAGGTAGGTGTGTTCTAGTTGAGATTCATGAACATCTCAGCAGCTTTCCTACATCCTCTGCATAGGACTCGTTCACTACGGCTTTGCAGCACCATTCTTTGCCATCACTATCAACACTCCTCGTCCATTTCCACCAAATCATCTTCCATAACAACCTATCGATCATGATTTCATACTAGCCTAATCACAACGTCATTCCAAATTCATACGAACCCCCTATCTAACACCACCCCCAGATTCATCACTGGCCTGGCAGACACGCAAATCGACCTGACCCGCGACCGCCCCTCATGGTTTCCCCCCGGAAAATCCCTCCAACTTCCTCTCACCCTCCTGGAAACCCGTCACCGAATCGTCCACAGACATCTCCCCTCCCTCGCCGAGCTAAAGCGCGCAGCCACCGAGTCCCTCTCCTGGCTCTGGGAATGGTACTGGCTCCAACTCGACCATGCATTCAAAACCGGTATCACTCCAGCAGCCGGAACAGAAGAAGAGGAAGAATTCGGCGTCCAAAGCCGAGAAGCCGTCCGCGAAAAACTCCAAAGCATACTAAAAACCTACGTCAAAGAACGCAAGTCCGAGATCAAGAACAGGAAGAAAGACAATAATAGCAAGGCTGCTGAAACAGCGTTGTCGACGTATACCCTACGTTACGCACCCATTGCTACGACCACGCCTTCGACACAGACCCAACGCGTACTCCTGCACTTGTTAGTCGACGAGAAAATGATTCTGCCCACGGACAAGAAACTAGGCAGTACCATGTCCGGCGCCTTCATCATCTGGACACCCCTCTTACGTGCATTCTGCCTCGACGGCGGCGTCCTGCACATCAAGACTCTAGTCGAGCATCTCATGCGTGCTATGAACGGCACATCCCCCGCTGCGCGCGCAATGATGAATCCGGAGATGGATCCTGTGAGGGAGGGGCTGCAGGACTGGATTGTCCATGTTCTTACGGATGAGGAATGGGCGGGTGTACGAGGGGGAGGCGCGGCGGAGAGGAAGGTTGTGGAAGAGGTGCTTGGGGTGTGTTTTTCTGAACCGTCGTTTTGGAATTTGAAGGTTGCAGAGAAGGTGCTGGATGCTGCAAGGGACTTTGTGGATGAGAAGTTGTGGCGTGCTGTGCTCGATGCTGCGAAGGCGGAGGGGGCGGGGGGTGGGGAGATGGATGTTGATGTTGAGGAGATTGAGAAAGCTTTGCCTGTTAGAAAGAATGATGGAAAGGAGGAGGTGGTCAAGGAGAAGATCAAGGGGCCGACGAAGGTGTTGGGGATGTGGAAACCGAGACCGATTGGATGGTTGCCTGAGGGGTGGGAGGATGATGAATAAAGAGGGGACTGCTCTGGACGTGCGGAGGTTTCATAGACATTCCTCGTTGTCACGTCAGGGACCCAAGTCGGACGAGTTTTAGATGTACGGCATATTCTCAGATTCTAACACCTCAGTGGCAATGTGCCAGCTGGTGTTGGTATCTATTCAACTCTCTCTCTCTGTCCTTCGTCTTGTATACGAAACGCTTTGCTTCGTTCTCGATATGTTCCTACTCTTCGTAGGTATCTGCACCGTCTCGTCAAGTTTCGTACGGTATGTCGGACACCGCGAGATTGTAGGTGATACACAGGTTTAATCCCATTCCTCACAAGCAGCCCTTCTCATATCTTCTCTTTGGCGTTTGAGACGCCTATCCGGGTTTCTACCAAGCGCATGAGCTTGATCGTTTGTTCGGCGAGCGTAAGGGTCAGAATCTATGTCAATGTTAGCGACCGAGTCCCACCTGTTACATCTGTCTGACATACCGTATGGGGCAGAATGCGAGCCAGATGGGCAAAGTACCCCTTGTACAGCGCAAAGATACCCTCCGTCTTGACCGTCCGACTCAAGCAATCAAAAGCCGATGTGTACAGGTTGCCCGTCTGGTTGTACATGCGCGACATGATGGTATCCGGGGGGTGCATAACACAGCAGACGACAAAGCCACTGGCCGTACTACTCGCAATGTGCAGCGGCATGCCCTCTTCCATACCCAGATGTTTCACTAACCGTCTCTTTGCGAAGAAGTACGTGGGAAGTTGTACGGAGCTGCCGAAACCTGTGCGTACCATGGCTGGTCCTACACCTCTGTACAAGCCCTTGATGCCTTCGCCGCTGTATATTTGTCGCATGCCATCGACGGCGTTTCGGTAGTTGTGTTGTGTGCCGACGGGTAAGAAGGGCGAGTAGGATTGTAACCGCGTCTTTACGAGGAAGAAGGGGGAGCCGGCTGCTGCGCCTAGGACACCGGATGAAGCGCCTGCGAAGAGGTTGATGCCGAAGGATTGGACGGCTGGGTCGCTGTATACGACGTTTGTGAGGGTCTTGCGGAGGGGTTCGTAGAAGCCTAGTCGGCAGCCGTTGAGGGTCATTTGGTACACGTACTGGGCGCGTCAGTTCCTGCTCGTTCCGTTGTTCCTGAACATGTGTGCTAGACATACTGCGCATCCCAGACCGCGTAGTAAACCTCTGGGTCCTTCATTCTTCAAGATGACGCTGACACCATGGAAGACACCTTTGTATAATCGCGGCGCGTCACTTCTCGCTTTAAGCTCGCCTTGTAGTTGTAGTCTGGGCGATCGTCAACGAGCTGGTCGCGCAGGTGTTGCGAGCGAAGACGCGCACCGGATTTTGACGGTCTCGAAGCCGTGGGTTACTGTGACTGCACCGCATGCTGCTATGCCGCCGGCTATGAAGGAGCTGGTGGGGGTAGTCGTTAATACAATCAATACTGTGTTTAAACTTTATACTGAGTACCTACCCGAGGGTTGTAGACATTCTCACACTCTATGCGACTCTTCGGCGCGCGCGATTCGGAAATATGGGGGAGTACGTATTCGGTGGTGGTAGTAGTGACGTGGGTTACCGCGCGATCATGAATACGAGTAAAGAAGGTTTGTAGGAAATAGGGATGGAAGTAAGACCAGGCGAAACTGAAGCTACACACGTCTTGCCGTCACAATGGCAATGCTGAGGAAATGTCAAGGTGAATATGAATAATCGTTCCGGTTTCGGCTCGGCATGGCCAGCTACGTAAGACCGCTCGGACCCACTTCTTTCCATATGCTGCAACTCTTCAGCGCATTCCGCCGGCTCTAATTGTCCACGTCGCGTCGCGTGCTTGAGTTTACGCGCCCGCTGATTCGCCGACTGAAGAGGTGGAGATGAACGCAGCTGTCGCAGCAGAGGATTAGGAGCTCAACTCGAACATGGCTGGCTCAGCGACACCCGGCGGCGGGCCTCCACCGCCGCCTGCA